AGAGGGGGGAGAGGGAGAGGGAGGGAAGGGGGGGGAGAGAGAGAGAGAGAGAGAGAGAAACATCGATGTGAGAGAGATACATTAATTGGTTGCCTCCCGCACGCGCCCTGACCAGGGATTGAGCCTGCAACCAAGGTACATGCCATTGGCCGGAAGAGAACCCAGGACCCTTCCGTCCGCAGGCCAATGCTCTATTCACTGTGCCAAACCAGCTAGGGCTGTACTGCTGAATTCTTAAAGTCTACATTCTATTATTACCAATCCCATGCATAATCATCAATGGGATTCTAAGACCTGAAGTTTAATTACTTAATTTTTTAGTTTCTCAAGACGAAAGGCAATTGACATCATTCATTTAGACCTTTATCCAGTCATTCATTTGTTCTTTTAAACATTTTGCCTACCATGTTTCAGGCACTATTCTGTAGTGAAAGTATGTAATTTAAAACAAATCAAGAGGCTTTATCCTCTCTTCTCCAACAAGGGGGGGAAAAACAATATCACATACTATTTATAGCATAGAATGGTCACTGTTATAAATTATAATCTTAAGGGGGTTTCAAATTCACTCTCAAGTTAATCAAAAAGAAAATAAAAAGTTTTATGTTTTACATAGTTCAAGTAAATTAGCACAAAGCTAGGCACTAGTAGGAAAAGTCCTATGTCATTATTGCTATTGCAGAGGACCATTATTTTGCCTTAAATATTATCTTGAGCGTTACCAACTGCACTGAGCACTAACATTAGAATTCAAACTATAGTTTTCTGTACAATCAAGTCCTTTTATCTACAGTAATCACTCAGTTTTTTAAGAAATTTTTGCTATCAAAAGCCTTACCTTAATCTTATTGCAAATGACAGAGCTTACTATACTGAATTCATGGCCAAAAATTTAGGATGAAGTTTATATTCATTATTTTCCTTTAAATATATAGAGAATACTGTCTTTTAAATTAACTGCTGCAGTTAGCACAAAGGTCAGCTTACATTGCAGGAAAAGAAAATAAAAACAAAATTTCTCGATTCTTCTCCTCAGTAGTTGTAAATTTTGAAATTACTCACCAAGACATTCTGGATATGAAACATCCAAAAAACTGCTGGGCCAAGGACTGGGCTAAACACCTTCTAGTCAAAGGTGTCTCATCTATAATCATGGCACTGTGTAACAGATTTGTGCTGGAATTTAAGAGACAGCTATTTATAACCAGGAAATAATTACCAAGTCAAAATACAATTATTATATGTTTAAAACAACAGAATTTAAGTTAGGCATAAAAGAGAAAAACCAGAATATTCTCCCAAAGAGCTTTTGCATCTTTCCAAAATATAGTTGAAATCCATAATCTTGACATGTTTTTCTTAAAGCAAGGATTGCAATGTTTCCCACTGATTTCCATAAAAAGTATATATACCTTTTGGGTGGTGGGATAAGGGGAAGCATCATTAGTCAGGTATGTTAATCAAAAACTAATCCTCCTATGAAGGGCTCTTGTAATCTTTTCCAAATAACAACTATTAAATTTTTGTGCTCTATCATTTACTTTCATATACACTGACCCATAGGATCCTTCTAGCAACACTCTGGAGAACGCGAGGGAAGTATTATCCCCTTTTAATAGATGAGAAAATTTAGATCCAGATAGGGTAAAATGATTGACCTTGACTCATAAAACTTTGAAATATGAAACTTTTCAAGGAATGAAATAGAAAAGGGAGAGAGGTAAAGAGGGTAAAGAAAGAAAATGAAAATAACGTTCTCTTTTTCTTACAAAAAAAATTCTGACAATATAAGTAAATTTTTAAATAGTGCTAAGAAAATCTCTCACTAGCTATTCACAAAGTAAGTTGTATGATTTTTTTTAAACTACATAAGCAGAAAAAGATTTTAAAGAAATATGTAAAACATTAATGTCAGTTAATTCTGGATGAAATAGTATGAATGTTTTGGGTTATTCTAAAAGTTTCTTCTTTATGCTTTTTTACATTTTCAAATTTTAAAAACACTAGATTTTCTACAAAGCCAACCATATCTAAATTAAAGAAAAAAGTTCAAAACACATCCTAAAAATGATCCTAAAATAACCTTTCTTCACATTATTACCCTAATTAAGCATTTCAAATTTGAAGAAATACCAACCTAAAAATGCTCATAGAAGCATAAGCAGCCACTTCAACATAAGCCTCATCAATGAATACAGTCTTAAAGCAAGAGTATGGGTATCGGCATGTAAGAATTTCTTCATAAAATTCAAAAACTTCATGGAGATATGAAGTGGTATGTTTAAGCAATGGAAGAAGTTGGGGTAAACAAAAATGAGTAACCTGAAAATAAAAGCAAGGAAGATCACTAAATAAGTTAACTTTATATTTTAATTTCCTAAATATCTCAATTACAGATAAATGTTCATATAGATATATATTTTTCTTTTTCATAAATTCATGGAACTGAAAGAAAATGCTGTTGTGAAATTAGAGATTACTTTGACAATATTTAAAAATTCTTCTGCATATGCATACAAAAAAGATTTAAATTTCTAAGACTTATATACTATAGACCTACCACTGATTCATAAATATCTAACCTAGTGAATATTGGACATGTCATAGTACTATGTTAACAATTAACAGTCAATGTTAGTCACACTACCTCTACTGCACGTAGAGAAAAATTACTGTAGTGTCTTCCTCTACTATCTCATGTACATACTGAAAGCTGCGGGAAGCTTATTGCTTGCTAGGAGAAAAGAAATGCCTGCAATAGAAACAGTAATTCTGATTTTCTTATTAGGCTACACTGCACCTTGGACACGACACACCAATGATCACAGTCCCAATTTACAACTCTGTGCCAAATGAAAGGCATCGACAGTGACAGAGGTCACCCTTGCTAGAATGACCTGGCAAGGTTTCAGGCAGGAGACTGAATTTGAGCTAATATTCTCAAATGGACAAAAGTTTGATAGGGAAGGAGAGGAAAAGAGGACATCCCAAATAGTGTCAGAAATAGGAAGAAATAAGGTATGATCAAGAAACTCTAAGTAAACTATCTATATTGAATATAACAAACACAAATAGGAAAGTATTAGAAAAAAGCTGGAAAGGAATATTAGGGTCAAATTTTAGAAGATCCTGAAAGCCGTGCTAAAGAGCTCTGACTTCTGCAGGACTGTGGAAGAAAGGAAAGTTTAAAAATATAATAAAAATTATTGTTCTGACAGCATTACAAAAGAACAGATTAAAGACTACCAAAATAGTGAGGGATGAAGATCTGTGTATTATTAATGGGCAGGGCCCAAACTGCATCATGATTAATACTCCTCTTGGTACACAAACAAAATGAAAAACTACTCATCAAAGAAAGAATTCACTTTCAGACAAACCTACAGGATAGCAAATCTACTGATATTGGGGCAAAAATTAAAACTATTTGAGAGAAAAAGACTAAAACATGCGCTCTAAGGATTCGAGAAAAATGCCTGATTTTCCTTTCTCTCATCCAATGGCTCAGCATGCGAAAAAAACTTTTCCAAAATACAAAGTAGGTACTAATCAAATGTTGATTTTAAAGTTGATTAATTTACCAAAGATAATAAAATTCACTGCCAATCTTATCACTAAATACACTTTCAAGAGACACTGTCAAGATAGTTTTTAAAAGCAAAACTATTCACAAAATACCTTGAATATTTTCAATGAGTGATTTCACAAATCTTGTGAATTTCAAGAGGGCAAACATAAAAGCAGACAAAGGAACTAACAGCCTAAACCTGGTTGACCTCATTTTTGCCCACATAACTCAAAGAAATACTGTTGAGATATACGTGGTCACAGTATAAGCTTTATATTAAAAATAAAAGTAATTAAAATTGAAAACATAAAGAACAGTAAGTAAGAGATTCATTCAAGTGTTACTTTAAACATGTACAGTAGCCAAGAGGGTCAATAACCAGTGAATTACTTTTTAACTGCAAGCAATCTCATGCTTGGGGAGACCTAAAAGCACTAGTTGGCCTATCAACTGATAAGTGATTTGCTGTAAGATGTGGGATGGGAGAAACTGGGAGAAGACTTCATGAGTTTGCTGACCAGACTTCTAACCCTGCCATCCTTTACTCTCTTCCTCTGCGTTGTGAAGTGAGAACAAATCTTGCTCCTTAATCCTGAACTGCACTTTTTTAGATCCAGAGGTGACACTGTGACATTCATAAACATATGCCTCACAAAGAGATGACATTAATAATGAACAGAATTAGTTATAGAAATTAACCTATATACTCTAATCAAAATATACTTGAAGCTCTTTTGAATGCAAAGACCTCTGTCGGAAAAAATCTGAAATTTTAATATAACATTTTGAAAGGAATTCATTCAGGAATTCACATCATTAACTACATATCAGAAAAGGAAGGCTTCTCTCTCAAATGATAATCTTGACAGTTAAAAGAAGAATTAAGAAAAACTTAGTATTTCATTAATAGCCTTCTTTTCTCAGGAGTGAAAGGGTGAAAGGAGAGAAAGGAGCAAGAAGCCATACCTCATGCATATACGGATCTACAAGTATTTCAAAGGGTCCAATGGCCAAGGAGATATTTGACGCAGCTGTTGGAATGGTAAGCATGTAATGGAAGGTCTTTTTCCTCATATCATGGGTATACACCGTCTCCACCAAATCTCCATTGGAAACAGCCACCATCGCAGCATCTACTGTAAATTCTAATTTCCATGTACATAATTCAGAGTATGAGTCAACACATGGGAACCAAAATCTAGAAAAAAGATCAACAGTATAAAAAATATGTTGAAAGTGTAACCTACATTGCTTCCCCCACATATAAATTTTTTTAACATTCATAAAATAGCTACAAAAAGAAACTTTAGCTATTTGACTACTGAAGTTTTTTTACTGTGCAACTTGAAAGAATTTGATTAAAGACAGAATCTTGTTTCCAAATATTATCTGGCAATATTAAGTAAATATATCTTGTGGTACTGTCAGTTCAAACCCTAAAAAGGGGTAAGCAATTCTCAGTTCGCAATTTTTAAATTAAAAATGTTTCACTTGTATATTCACATTAGTCAGTTTTGATGTAGCATTCATTTCCAGAAACTAAAAAGGCTTGTAATAAAGTTTTAAAATACACAATTAATAATCAGAATCTATTTTGTAAGCTAGAAAACTGCTTTTCTGGAGAATGCATTGTATACATTCAAACAGTGCTGGTAATGCCATACATAAATTTCTAGCTGACTTTCTATCAATTCAGATCAGGTTTTATTAGGTGCCAGGGTCTGTACATGGCACTGCAACACAAAGAAGTATAAGATATCACCCCTGACTTGGAGGAGTTAATAATCTGAGGAGAAAATACATACCATAAAGTAATATTTCAATAACATGTAGTGAACTACAGAACTATGAGAATGAACTACAATTACACACAATGAAGCGAAATCTCACTACCACAGTGTTCAACAAAAGAGCATAATGCATATGCTTCCATGTATATAAAGTTTAAAAACAGATATAATTAATCTATGGCATTTTAGAAATCAGAAAAGTGATTACCCTTTGGCAGGAGAGTATCAGGTAGGGAGGTAGTGAAGGAAGTGGGTGGGAAGGGGACTCTGAGATACTGGTAATGTTCTTTTTCCTGATGTGAGTGTGGATTAAATGGATGTGTTCACTGGTGCAAATTTACTGAACTTTCTACATACAACTTATGTAATTTTTTTATGTTTTACTTCAATATATAGTTAAAAAATAAAAGAAATGAGATGATTTCAGAACAGTAGACTTGCAAATGAGAGAGAAAAGACATAAGGTTGAGGAAGAATGACTAATGGAACAAGAAAGAGGTGGAAGAAGTTGGGTGGATAAAACTGGTATTTCCCATTTTATACTAAATATGTGCATTGTATTTACACAGAAAAAGTACAATTGAAAATAAAATTAACTGAAATATATAAGAATTAATAATCTACCTTGTGGAATTCTGATACCCACAAGAGAAAACATGAGCACCTCTCTCTGCCATACTTCCCTCTACACTGGGTACCACAAAATGAAGACCTCCTTTTGGCTGATCCAAAGAAAAATTGATGTGTATCTTTAGGACCTTTAATTCTGCAACAAATAAATACACACATACATTGATACATAAATATATAATTAGTGGTCTACGTAATAAGAGCATACTTACACTGAACACAAAATGGGAATCCAAAGCTCAGTTTTACATGAAAAACCACACTACTTAACCTAGTTCAGGTTTTCACCATCCCTCCACCTAGGTTAACAGGTGTCCTTGGCTCCACTCAATTCTAGTCACTGCTGTGTTCTCCGAAAATGTAGCTCTGGCTATGCCATGTCCTCATTCCCAACAATGGTACACTGCCTAAAGAGAAAAATGCAAAACTCCCACATTGGACACTTAAGTCTTTCTCTTCTAGATTTAATTCAAAACTTACTTTTCAGGTTAAATAAATGGTGATGGAAGAAAATTTGACTATGGGTGGAGGGCATACAATGCAATAAACAAATCATATGTTATAGAATTGTACACTTGAAACCTATATAATTTTAATAACCAATGTCAGGTTAATAAATTTATTTTTTTTAAAAAGGACACAGAAGCCAAAAATTAAAAAATTAAAATAAAAAGATTGACAAAAAAAATTTTTGTTCTCTTATTACATTCCCCCAAAGAGAGTTAACCCTGGTTGACTTCAGGGAGTAGGTAAATAAGTGAAAGGTGGGGCAGATGGAAAACTTATCCAAGATTTACATTATGCATTATTTATTATGTTTTTTAATTTTTGTCTTGTTTGATTTCTATAGAATAAATGTGTTGCTTTCATAATAAGGTTAAATGTTGTTTTAATTCCCCCCAAAACATTATAACCATATCACTATCTCCAATCTCTGAACATAATGAAGACGTTCCATGCCTGTCCCCTAAATTGGGCAAACCTCTCCCCCTAAAATAATCCCCCCCCCACAAAAACTACCAAAAATAAGCAAAATCAAAGCAAAATGTCTTTTACTTCCTTATCACGATTAATTTTTATAAGGCGAAGTAAAAGTAGGCAAAAGATTATACATAATAATTATAATGGCTATAAATATATTCAAGAAAATAAAAATTTAGACATAGTAAGACTATGCTCAAAAGCATGCAAAGTAGATGTTTTGGCGTTGCGTCTACTACTAATTAATGACCTTCAGGAGGTCACTTACTCTCTTTGGACTTCAGATGACTCTTTTGTAAAAGAAAGGAATTAAACCAGATGATTTTTAGGACCCTTCCTGCTATAAAATGCTATCATTCTAAAATGATTTGATATTGTGTGGATTCTGAAATCTCAATAAACTGTTCCATTCATCTTCTAATTTTTTTTTAATAACTTTCACTTTAAAAACAGTGAAGTGAGTTGATTTTTTGTCACACTCCTTGATTGCTATTTTCCTGTTAGCCTGTGGTCCTTAAGGGGGAAAAAAAGATTCCAACTTGTGATTATTTCAATTTACAATTTTGACATCATTTTCATGTAAAGGTTCTAGTCAGTAAACCATGATTGTATTGCACAGTCAATATAGTCTTGGTATTTTACCATCAACGTGTTTCCACAACTCTGATGGAACCTTAATACAAAGTTCTCCATTTCCTGCATCAGGATCCACAGCACTCACCGCAGCTGCGTAAGCATTGGAAAAGTAATTGAGATTTCTCCTGGGGAAAAAAAAAAAAAAGGAAAAAACTTTAACAATAAGCCATATATTTCACCAAGTATTTTCTTAAATATTTGATACCATCTGTCTGTAAGCATTATATCATCTTACATAATTCATAAGAAAGCTTTTAGTCATGTAAATGTTGTTCTACTTACCAAAACAAAACCTACTAAACTACAAATTCAATGACATATAGTCTACTCACCAATGCTATGTGATTATTATAATTATCACACTATTCAATAATTTTGGAATGCCAAAGCCAATACGCTTTCCTAATACAAATATAGAGAATATATGTAGAATTTAAGAAATAATTATTCTTTATAAATCTGGTAAAAATTTGAATGGATTCAACAAGCTTTATAATCTGACAGACATTAAGATGATTAAAACATATAAGGAGGGAATCAATTCCTCAAAATATAATACTGCTCCTCTTCACTCCCCAGTGCATGACAATGTAAACTTAATGAAGGAGGAGAACTTTGGGCTCCTTCACTGTTAAATCACCTATATGCCAGGGGGTACTTGATAAACTTATTTGTTCAATAGTTACTTGGCTTTAACTCCCATTGGATGAAAATACACAGAATTCTTGTGGAAATATGAAAACACTGTTCCCATCTGACTTTCCTATTCCATAAAAACATTTCCTCACTGAAATTAGTTAAAGGAATATGGAAGAAATGGAAAAAAGAAGAAAGATAAGGGATAGCAAGAGCAAGAAAACAAGATGAAAGACCAACATCATGAGCCATATTCTCATTGCACATCTTTATGTCTATCACCTTATCATTAGATGAATGCACAAGGTAAAGTTGGTGACATTTCACTAGCTTAGTAAATTTTTAACCTACTTAAAAAAACAAGTTTCATGTACTCTACAGAGTGATTGTAAGGAAAAGCCATTAAATAAAACATTCGGTTATACACTCTTAACTTGATAGAGGCCATTCCTCCCCATCTCCACCTCTCTACTAATTAGGAAGGATGTAGTATTAACTATGGCTTTTAACACTTACATAACATAAGGCTCTGGAAGTAGTTAAACAGACTGCTCAATAATTTTAACAATTTCTTTCTGTTAGATAAATATGTAAAATAAAAGGTGTAAAAAAACTCAAGGATCACAATAAAAACAGACTATTTTTTAAATTACCATACAGTAAAAGTAACTTTTTTTTGGTATACAATTCTACGAATTTTAACACATGTGTAACCACCACGACAATCAGGATAGAGAACAGTTTCATCATTCCAAGTCTCTTGTGCTACCCTTGTGTCAAATAAATGGAACAGAATGTAACCTCCTGAGGCTGGTTTGTCTCACTCATTATGTCTCTGAAATTCATGAAAAGTGTTACATGTATCAATAGTGAGTTGCTTTTTACATTGAATAGTATTCCATTGTATAGACTGTACAGCAAATTCTTTATTCGTTCACCCACTGAAGGACATCTGGGTTGTTTCCAGCTTGTGGCTATCAGAAATAAAGCTGTTGTGAACAACTGTATATCAGTTTCTTTGTGATTTTAATTTTAATTTCAATAGTACAAATACCCAGGACTGATCACCCAGGGGCTCCAGAGTGATATAGTAAATATACATTTAGCTTTATAAGAATCTGCCAAACTGTTTTCCTCTGCATTCCCACCTGCAGAATATGAAAGTGCCAGCTGTTCCTCCTCATCCTTGCCAGGACTTAATTAACGTAACATCTAATATAAGGACTACTTAGTACATCTACAGATTACAACTTCTTTTCAGTAAAATTTCAAAAACATGAAATCTCAAAGACAGCTGAAGAACTTGTAATTTCCCCCCGTTATCTGTGAAATTCAAAACTAAAAGATAATCGTTACACAAAATGCCAAATTTAAACATTACATATTAGGCTGTTCAGTTTTTTTATGGGAAATTATTCTCTTAACGTCATTTCCTGAGAAAAGGTACAGTGGTCCAAACAAAATGGTGAGTCATTAGAAATAAAATCTATTAGGAAGTCAGTTATGAGGAACAATTTTCTCATGGTTTGGATTTCAGTGTTAGCTTTCATAATACGAATCAAATGTTTTCTTTCATAATAACCTCATAAACGCCAAAAACTACAAGGCAAGATTATAATAAATGTTTTCAATTTTCAGAATAATGACTACAAAATATTAATGTGCCCTTGCCCTATAACCACCACCACCTCAAGGAAACAAAGCTGAAAGACAAGTAATGCTGTAGAGGATATTGAAAAACTGGAAAATTAAGGTGACAGAATCTATTACATAATCACCCACATTAAATTAAAATGATGTTAATTCTTTGTCAAATAAAGAATACATGCTTCTCAAAACTATAGGTGCAGATTTTGCAAAACTTAAGAGTTTCCTTTATTTTAAAAAAATTTCATAGAAGCATAAAATACATCAGAAAAGTATATATATATTCTAAGTATAGAGCTCAATGAACTTTCACAAAACCAAAGCCGGTATGCAGAGCAAGAACAGAACTTTTCCAGCCTCTGGAAGCCCTCTTGAGCCCTCTGATAATCACTAACCAAGCCCCACTCCCACCAAGGATAACCCATTATTATGACATCTAATGTGATAGATTAACAGCTTAACATACATTCTCTTGTATCTGACTTCTTTTATGTGACGTTAAGTTTGAGAGATCCATCCATATTATTGCATTCAGCTGTTGGTCATTCATTCTCATTACTGTTTAGAATTCCAACAGCGTAAGAATACACCACAATCTACTATTCTACCACTGATGCATCTTCCAGTTTTCACAATTACAAATGCTGCTGTGAACGTTCCTGTATGTATTTGTTGGTGAACACGCGAACACGTTTCTACTGGGGGTATACCTAGGAGTGAGACTGCAATCATCGAGTATGAATATATTCAACCTCAATTCACATTTCTGTTAGCAGTGTTTGAGAGTTCCAGTTATTCTACATCCTTGTCAACACTCATTTTTCCCTTTGTCTTCAGTTTTGATAGTTTACATACAGGGTGGGGAAAAAGCCAGTCAACAAAAAAACTCCAATTTTCAAAAATGGAACCAATACCAAAATTGAGAATGATGACTAAACAGTTTATAATTTTTTAAAAAGATTTTATAGTTTGGGACATTCTACTCCAAAACACTGAGAGTCACAGAAATTATATAATCCAATGCTATCAAAACTTTGAAAAAACAAGTGCCTTCAAATAGTTGCCAGTATTTAAATCATTACAAATATTACTGGAATACAGTCAAGTAAAATGCAAAGAAGAGCATTAACAATGATAAACAATCCTATTTTCTTAAAAAATAATTCAAAGGCAATGAAACTAATCTGTTCCAAAATACTTACTCAACATTACTTATGATCACAAATGCTGGAAATTGTACAAATGTCAAACAACTAGAAATAATCACTCGAAACTACAGCATACTAAGTAAGTGGAATGTTACCTGACCATAAAAATAATTTTAAAATGAAGCCTATCATATTATACATGGAAAAGTAAAAACAAAGAATTTAAATGAATAAAGCAGAACATAAAACTGATCACAACAACATGTTTATTGATGAAAATCAGAAGTAGCCTTGCCCTAGCAGGTTTGCTCAGTGGACAGAGGGTCGACCCTCAGACTGAAGGGTCCCAGGTTCTATTCAGGCCAGGGCACATACCTCAGTTGCAGGCTTGATCCCCGGCCCTGTTCGGGGGGCCGTGCAGGAGGCAACCAATTGATGTGTCTCTTTCACATCAATGTTTCTCTCTCTCTCCCTTCCACTCTCTTTGAAAAGCAATGGAAAAAAACATCCTCAGGTGAGGATTAAAAAAAAAAAATCAGAAGCAGCCTCAAGACATACAATATTTATTTAATATGAAGGAATGAGCCCGACTGGTGTAGCTCAGTGGTTGAGCATCAGCCTATGATCCAGGGGATAGAGGTTCAATTCCCAGTCAGGGCACATGCCTAGGCTGGGGGCTCAATCCCCAGTAGGGGGCGTGCAGGAGGCAGCCAATCAATGACTGTCTCATCATTGATGTTTCTATCTCTCTCTCCCGCTCTCTTCCTGTTCTTGAAATCAATAAAAATATTAAAAAAATAAAAATAAAAAATGAAGGAATGAGATATTTCAGACAATATTTTATGATATTCTAAAGTAGTTAAAATATTTTATAGAATATTTTAAAGTAGTTTCTGGTCTATAGATTATGATGACCACCTAACTTATTAAAAATTACATTTCATATTTATGAATGAAATATTTTTTTAAATATCAAAAGAAAAAAAAAAAAAAAATGGCTAAGAAAATTTATTTAAAGTTTTCCAGTAGTACTTCTTTAAAACTGTAGTCTGAAGAAGGAAAACTTAATAATTACTATGTTGGGTAGAGCTAGTAAAATTTCTTGAACCAAATATGCAGTGGTAAAAGCAACAAAAATTAAAATTAGAAAAAACAAACAAACCTGGGAACCAGAGTCTAATAATAATCTTAGAAAACTCTACTGAAAAAGTTAATCAAATCATATGAAAAAAATTACTGTTAGAAATATCAGCGTTTACAGTGTATAACTTACTGTTTTGATTCACTGTGACAAACTTCCAAAGTTGGATCATTATAAATAAAAGCAGCTTCTAAATCATTGATCCTTACTCGGTATATTCTACACTGTTTGCTGTTCAATTTGATTCTATTCAAGTTTGCAACTGTGGGAAATATAGTCAGTTCCACAAATCCCTGTAAAGATAAAGAATAATAACTTCATTATAATTAAGAACATATTTCTTTGATTTCTACTACTACACATAGTACACTCCAAAGACAGAATCCCAAACAGTTACATATATACATATATACAAGTGCTCTCGGAGACCTTCATTTTGAACATGGCTGTCTCAGTGACTAAGTGGGTGTGAATTACGTACCCTTTATCATCCTGGTGGCTCACATTCACTATCTGTGAAAATCAGACCATCTGCTAGAATAAAGTAAAAGGACTCACTATTCTCAAATATAATAATTTCTAAACAGACTGGAACTAAACAGGGAGGAAGGAAAAAAAAAAGAGCAGAAAGAATCAAAACCATGTTGGTGAGTGAAAGAACATAGACCCCCAAGAAAGGGAAAAAACTATATCAATGAAGCTAATACATATGAAACTCTACTTATGGGAAGTAAATCAGGACACGTGAAGAGGCAAGAGCTACAAGAGATACTCAGACAAGTAGGGAATATCTATTGCCACCTCTTAGAGCAGCAGATACTTCAAAATGCTGGATGATTTCCAACCAAGTAAACCCACAGGCCATATACATGTAGTTCTACTATATTAGCTGTGTGGTGAGCAATCTATCTGAAAAATGTACCTAAGACATGAGAGACAGCTAAATACACTGACTGGCCAGCACCCTCTTGTGTTGAATCAAATGGGAAAGACAGACCAAGGAAACATGGAATATCTGTCCAGTAAGCTAAATATCCTGGGTTGAACACTGTGTTCTCAAACACAAAATATGGGAAGGCATGGAATAGTAACATTTCGGGGGCTGCAAAGGGAACAGAAAAATCTCAGAGGCTGCAACAGGAATATCTAAGATGAAATGCAGGCAACAACATAGAAGGCTAACTTACAATTATAATGGCTACTGTTTAATAAGAACTACTATATGCCAGATATACACTACTTTTATATATTCTCTCTATTCCCAGTAACAACTTTAAAAGATAAGGACTATGCTATGCTTTTTATAGATGGCAGTTAAGAAATTATATTAACAAGTGGAAAACTGAGATTCAAATCCACATCTAAATGATCCCAATTGATTTCCACCCACTATGCCGTCTCTCAGTACACAGCTTTTAAAAAAACATGCAAGAATTTTTAGATAACATTCAGCCCAACCGCTCAAAAGCCTACAGATACTGTAGCTTTTCCTCCCTGTTCCCAAATAAGAGAAGAGCCATACATCTTTAAATTAGACCATCCAGACAGATCTGCGTGGAAGCAAATGAGAACAGGAAGAGCAAATGCAAAAATACTGCTGATGAAGTCTCTGTGTTTAAAGGTGTAAACTGTGAGCAATGTAGGGAAGAAGACCCAAATTCCCTTAATTAGCATATCAGCAATGCGATAACCAATCTATACAAAAGAGTGTCAATCAGCTGAGAGACAGCAAGCAAAACCAACGTCAAAAGTAAACCAGAAAAGCTTATGGAAAGTGCTGTTAACAGTTAGCTACTGGTGGGACATAAGAACAGGATTTGGCCTTCTAAGCTATGATTAACAACAGTAAAATGGTGAACACAGTATATTTCGTGAAGATAAAGGAAAGCCTGGTCTCCTCGTATCATCAGGTCTCTGACTCCTCCTAGAGCCCCTATCTTACTTTATGTAACCTCCCCAGCTGCCATTCAACCCTTTCAAAAATTCCTTCTCTACCTTCCAGCCTTAGATGAAATGTCTCTTGAATCCTCCTTGACAAGAAGCTACTTATTCTTTCATTCACTATAAATTAGTGGAGGGGAAAACGGGAAACCTCCTAGTTTCCAGTGCTACTCCTAAACCATTTACAGATTTTATATAGCATGTAGTAAACAAACAAGGGCAGTACAGTGTCATTGTTAAATTAAATGCACGTTCTGGAGATAGGCTTCCTGCATTCAAATCCCAGCTCCACCACTAAGTAAGTGTATGATCTTGGGCTAATTACTCTAGTGCTCTGTGCCTCAATTTCCTCACCTGTAAAACAAGAATAATGACACTATTTACCTTTCGGTGTTATTACGACAAATGAACAATTTAATACATAGAAAGCACTTAAAATCATAGTTGGCATCAAGCAAGAATGCAGATCCTACAGGAATGAAGCTCTAGGTCAGACCAAAAGAAATGCTAGCAAGAGGAAAGGGGGAAATGGGATGGGTGGACGAATAAGGAAACTGTGTATATCAACTTGAGCCTTGACACCAACTGAAGAAAGCAGGGGCTGTAGCAGTTCAGTTTCACATTCTTTTACCCACCACATTTCTTTCCACTGTCTAGTATGAAAGATACTGGTGATAGCTAATATTTTAGGTGGGAATAGTCCTGAACTGACATTTTCTCACACTATTACATTAGTTCATGGATCAGCAAACTTTTTCCTAAAGGACCAGATAGTAAATAGGCTTTAAGGGACACACAGTTTCTGTCATAGTTACTCGACTCTGCCATTTTAGCTCCAAAGTAACCATAAACTCGCATAAGCTCCCCCACCCAGGTCTGGGCATATGCTGGCAGCAACCAATCGATGTGTCTCTCTCCCCGAAAAGCAATGGAAAAAATATCCTTGGGTGAGGATTAAAAAAAAAAAA